GCCTCGCAATTTATTTGGACGCCGCACCTTCGACACTCAGGAATCACGTTCTCGCTGTGGATTTCAAGACGATTCATGCAGAACGCACGCTTCAGCCATCCGCTTGCTCGACCGACCTGGCCGCCTAGGGCCGCCTTCCCGACCCGCCCGCTAGGGTCTGCCCACCCGATCTGTCCGTCTGTCTGGTTCTGCCACGTGTTTTTTTGTTCCCAGCCTTCCTCCCGAGAATTCCTCTCCCTCCTTCTTCCATGCGTCCCTTCTTCCCCTGTCTTAGGGGCTGCACCAGGTACACGCAGCAGGCCAGGAAAATATGCCCCCAAGGGGTATGATCGAAGACGAAGAGGGCGGGTATCGAGGGTGTGGGATATACGTGTTGAATGGCACGCGAGCAGATGAGAGCGAACAGTCTTAGAATGATTGTTGGTTTCCGCTTTTGACGATTGAATCATTTTCGTTGTTGACCCCCCTCCGTGGCACATTGTGTTTTTCTATTCAAGTGCACTTCCTGGAATTCGCACCATGTTTTCATCAGGGTAAATATTTGGTCCCAGACTTGTGTCGTTGGCCCCTGGATTACAGCAAGAACGCCTCCCGACTGACATGTTCCCACAATGTATTCCTGCATCGCGATCTCGCGCGGGACCTCCTCACGATGTAGGTAAACAATTCGCACGCTCGTGTTGGACTTCCTCGCAATTCATACAGACGCCGCGCCCTCGACACTCAGGAATCACGCTGTCGCTGTAGGTGTCCTGACACTTTTTTGGGGGGATCGCGCTATCGCTAGAGACCTTCCCGCGAGCAGATAATATGAGCGGACAGGCTTACAATGATTGGTGTTGTTTTCGTTGCTGGTTTTGTTGTTGTTGGTGTTGTTGCTGTTGTGTGTGATGTTGGTGTTGTGGTTGTTGCTGTTGAGCTCCCACGTATACATAATAGTTAATGGTGACCCCCCTTTCTGGTATCAATTATTTGTTCAAGTGAAGTGCTTCTCCCGGGGCTTGCACACCTTTTTCAAGGGCAAACGAAGGGCCGCCAAATTGAGTTGGTGGCCTCCGAACTACAACAATGACGGTTTCCTCCTGAGACGTTTTCAGAATATATGATTAATTCGCGTTCTCGCGCGGGATATCTTCACAACTTGTTATATATACATATATATATATGTATATGTGTGTATGTATGTATGTATGTATGTATGTATGTATGTATGTATGTATGTCATGTAATGTAATGTAATGTAATGTAATGTAATGTAATGTCATGTAATGTAAGGTAATGTATGCATGCATGCATGTATGTATGTATGTATGTATGTATGTGTGTATGTGTGTATGTATGTATGCATGCATGTATGTATGTATGTATGTATGTATGTATGTATGTATGTATGTATGGGAATCGCGTTCTCGCGTGGGAATTCATCGCAATGTATTCAGGCGCCGCGCCTTCGACACTCAGCAATCAAGCTCTCCGTTAGATTTCCCGACGATTTATTTGGGAGTCGCGCGATTTCTTGAGATTCCCCCCGAATCATGCAGGACGCACGCTTCAGCAGCCCGCCTGTTCGACCTGGCCGCCTGGGCCCGCCCTCCTGACCGTTCGGGTCTACCAGCCCGATTTGCCCGTCTGGTTCTGCCCCCACTCCTGCTACCCTCTCTCGTGCGCCATCGTCCTCCCTGCCCATTTTCCCTTCCGTTCGTCCGTCCTCTTTTCCTCTGCCTTAGGGGCTGCACGAATGCACGCTTCAGGTAAGACAGAGAGAGAGAGATCGAGAGAGAGAGAGAGATCCCCAAGGGGGTACGATCGAAGACGACGATGGCTGGTATCGAGGATTTTCAACTCTACGTTTTGAGCTGGCCGCGAGCAGAAACGGGCGAATAGTCTTCAACTAAGTGTTGTTGTTGGTGTTGTTGAACCCTGACGCCTAGGGAATAACTATTATTGATGCCCCCCCTCCCGTGACCATTGTTTCTAAATTGAAGTGCGTCTTCCACGGCTCGCACCCTGTTTTTTTATCATATGTTTGAAAAAAGGGAAAGAGAGGTGTCACCAAATTGTGTTGGTGGGCCCCGGCTTACACCAACAGCGGTTCCCGCTTGATATTGCTTCACCAGACGACATCGCGTTATTGCACAGGACTTCGTCACAATTTATGCAGGAATCGCGTTCTCGCGTGGGACTGCCTCGCAATTCATTCAGACGCCGCGCCCTCGTCATTCAGGATTCTTGCTCTACGACTTATTTAGGAATCGCTTTACCCGCTCGACACTCCCCTGGGATGTATTGGGGCCGCACGCTTTGGCAACCTGCTGCCCCTTGTCCCTTCCTTCCATCCGTTCTCTCCTTTCTTGTCTTCGGGACTGCACGAAGTACACATTGCTTGTGAGAAATAAGTCCCTCAGGGGGTACGATCGAAGATGAAGAGGGCAGGTATCGATGATTTGGGATATACGTGTTGAGTGGCCCGCGGGCAGAGAGAACTGTCTTAAAATGAGTGTTGTTGTTGTTGTTGTTGCTGTTGTTTGTGGTGGTGGTGGTGTCGGCGTTGTTGTTGGGTTGGTGTTGCTTGGTATTTGTTGTGCAATTGGAGGCTTTCAGAGGTTTTCGGCCCGCCGAGATCTTCAAGGACCTCGAGGTATCCATGAGGACACGGGTGAGACACGGGGCGGACGAAAAGGCGGTTCGAGAATTGTGTGATTATAACATCTGTTGCATTCCTCCAGCTTCGATTCCGCCGCCATGCCTTCCTCTCGGTGACGATGGCGATGGTGATAATGAAGATGAAGAGGAGGAGGGGGAAGAGGAGGAGGAGGAGGAGGATGGGGGTGATGGTGATGAGGATTAGGATAATGATCATGATTATGATCAGGATGAGGTTGATGATTATGTTGATGATGATGTTAGTGATGGTGATGGCGATGATGATGACGATGATGATGACGATGACGATGGTGATGATGATGATGATGATGATGATGATGATGATGATGATGATGATGATGATGATGATGAAGGCGATGCAGATGATGATGGTGGCGATGGTAATGGTGGTGATGCTGATGCTGATACTGCTGATGATGATGATGCGCATGAGGATTAGTATCATGATGGTGGTGATGATGATCGCGATGCTGATGATGATGATAATGATCACGAGGATGATGCCTCTGCTGCTGCTGATGATGATGATGGTGATCATGATGATGATGCTGATGATGATGATGATGATGATGATGATGTTCATGATCATGATCATGATCATGATCATGATGATGCTGATGATGATGACGATTCTGATGGCGACGACGATGCTTTCTCAATGCTACGGTCGCCTCCAGTGCCGGTCGGCGCAGAGTAAGCCAGCTGCTCGCAGAGGACTCTCTGATCCCCCCTCCACTTCCCCCCCCCGTCTCGGAGGAGAGTCCCCCCTGGGCGGTGGCACGCCTGCGCGGCATCTGGCACTGGGTTCACGCCAGCCGTTGAAAAAGTATGTATTTCTGGACCCCCCAGATCCCAATCTGCTTCAGCCGCCTTCCTGCTTCAAGAGCCGAGTGGTTGTCCGTCCCTCGGTACTCCTCTTAGGGGGCGGGCGGAAGCCCAATCTGTTTCCAACGCCTTCCTGCTTCATGGTTCTGCCCACTTCTTCCGACCGACGAGAAAGGCTCCCTGACCTCCGTTTCTCCTCCTGGTTCGTCCGGCACGAGAGACTTGGGGAGGCTTCCGCCGTGGAGACCCGGCGACTTCCTGATCCTGAGACCTCCAGAGCGCCCCATCTCATCCGCGGCAAGCACTCGGAGCCCCGAGCCTCGATCAGGGAAAACGACCGTGGGGCACTGGCCAGGGGGCGGGACGCAGAGAGCCCGCTCGCGCCTTCGGACGTCTTCGTGGGGTTCCTGGCGGCTCTCCTGCTTTGGGATGCCTGGGTCGTCCCGAGCGTCCGCCGGGGAGCCGAGTTCGGACCCGAAGGCCAGATGGCGAGGATCACGGGGGGGGGGCACAAGCCCAACGGGGGGGGGGGCAGTGTACAGCGACCCCCGATGGCCGATGGCCCATTTCTCGCCGACTGCTGCCTGCGAGCCGACCCCGCCAAGGAAGAGTTCTCTATCGGAGGCGTCTCGCCGAGCTGTCGGCGGTGTATCGCCGATTCCAGGTCAGTGCGTGTGCCTCCCTGAGCCAGCTCCCCCCATCTTTCCCCCTCAGCCGACGGCCTCGCCAACGACGACGCCGCCACCGACGACGACGACGACGGCGACGGCCACGACGACGACGAGGACGACGACGACGACGGCAACGACGTCGACACCAGCGTCGGCGGCGGCGGTGGCGGCGGCGACGACGACGACGTCTTCAAGTCGGGCGGCATGGGCTTCATGTTTCGGGGGGCCCTCTCGCCGATCCGAGAACCTGGCGCGGGATCCCTTGTCCATGCCAGCGCGCGCCGCGCCCAACGGAGATGGAAGGGGAGGCGGCACGGCAGGAGGGAGCGCACCGCGCGCGCCGCTCTGAGCCGCGCCGCCGAGGACTCCTGACCTCCGACGCCGCCCAGGCGAGCCGTGGTCGTTGTCCACGTCGTTTACGGCGTCGTCGTCGTCGGCGTCGGCGTCGGCGTCGTCGTCCGCGTCGGCCATGTCGTCGTCGTCGTTGTCGTCGTCGTCGTCGTCGTCCACGTCGTCCACATCGTCCACGTCGTGTCGTCCACGTCGTCGTCCTCGATCGAGGATCGACGATCGAGGGACCGGGCTAAGATCTTCGGGCCTCCCTGTGGCTGGATCGGTCTAGAGCTTGTGGCCCAAACGTTCCCCAGGACTCGTCTAGGTCTGGCGTCGTCGTCGTCGTCGCTCGTCGCTTGTTCTGAATTCGGCGTTCGGGGATCGAGGCTGGAGGTGTCTGGGCGGCTTCCGTCCTTCCTGAGCCTCCAGGAGGCTGCTCGACGCCACTGGCGTGACCATCTCCGTCGCCGCCGCCGCCACCGCCGTCGTTCGCCACCCCGTGCAGAGGCGAACGGGTCGCAGCTCTTCGGGGCCCGCTACACTGGCCTCCTCTTCGAGGAGATCATACCCTACGCGCTGGCCCCCCGCCCCGGATTCTGCGCGCCGGCGGGGAGGGATCGAGGAAGTGGGTTTTTGGGGAACGTTCGGGGGCCTCGGACCAGTCTCCCGAGACCTTCGGGACTTTGGGAAGCCATCGGGGACGTGAACTCGATTTGCCCAGGCTGATAGGCTGGAAGGAGGCGGATGAGGAGGAGGAGGAGGAGGAGGAGGAGAGTCGAGGGGAAGTAGTGAGGGTGAGAGGCGAGAGAGGGAGTGAAGAGGAGGATGAGGAGGAGGAGGACCAGTGTAATCCCACGAGTCATCAACGATGATCAAACCCTCCCTCAAAACTCCCTCTGCAGGGCCCCTACAAGGGTTCATTTCCACTAAGAGAACTACCCCATTGCGAAACCGCTTCAAGACCCGGAAGCATGAGAAAGCACCATTATTGAGAATCCAACGCCACGGATCAACCTGATTGTTCTGCCTTGACGATCCTGAATCACACCAGAGCACCATCCCAGCTTTCAACACAGCGGATAAACGTAATTGCTGCACCCTCACCGTCCTGAATCTTTCCTAGACACAATTCCTTTTACGTTGACCACTTGAATCCGTGAACTGTGAAAACGAATGTGCGCGGCGCTAAAGCGAGGGTCACATTTTGAACATCGACCCGCCAATAATATGTGAAGCTCTTGCAAATATGTAATATGAACGTGCGCGGCGCTAAGACGAGATTTACACTTTGAAAATCGCCCGCCCTCAATCCGCGAACCTCTTGCAAATGCGTAACGTGAATGTGCGCGGCGCTAAGGCGATAGCCACATGTTAACAACCGCCCGCCCTCAATCCGCGAACCTCTTATAATTTGTGTTAAGCAAATGTGCGCGGCGCGAAGGCGATAGCCACAGTTTGAACATCGCCCGCCCTCAATCCGCGAATATCTTGCAATTCTTGTTCAACGAATGTGAGCGGCGCTGAGGCGAGAGCCACATTTTGAAAACCACGCACCCTTCATGTGTGAAATGTTGCCCATGCTTTCAGCTTCAGGGTCATGAATTGTGAGGAAGTCTCAGGCGAAACGCCCCGCCCTCCCTTTCGATCGGCTACAGGGTGCGGCAGCGAGGAGTGATCTATAAGGACAAGGAACTCATGGCCTGCCATTGCTTCTGGCCGCCTCTGCCGGGTTGTTGGGGCGTGTTCGAAATGCGCGTCCTTTTCGCCGCGGCTGTGGGGGACGATGACGAACGAGGAGGAGGAGGAGGAGGAATAGGAGGAGGAGGAGGAGGAAGAGGAGGGAGAGGAGGAGGAGGAGGAGAAGGAGGAGGAGGAGGAAGAGGAGGAGGAGGAGAAGAAGGAGGAGGAGGAGGAGAAGGAGGAGGAGGAGGAGGAGGAGGAGGAGCCGTGGCCCGGATCGGGGGCGAACGGCCCCAACAGAAGGGGGGGGGTCCCCCTGCCCCCCCCCCTGGCAGCCAAGACGTCCGGACACCGTGGAGGGGACCCGTGCACGCCGAACGCGTTTCACTATTCGCAAACCTGCCTACTCGCAAGCGTGCGGAAAAGAACATGTTTTCCTCTATGTAATATATCGTAGTTCCCCGCGGCGGATCCAGGTAATTTGCGAGTAGTTGAATTGCGAGTAGTGGAACGCGCCTGTCCACCTGCGCCGAAGGCGGGGGCGCGAGAGGGGCCATATCCTGTTCCGATCTCAAATGCTGTCGGAAATGCACCCTGAGCAATGCGAAGCGGTAAGGCCGCGGATACATCAGCAAAAGCATGGCAGAACCAGTGACAGCAAGGTAGTGTGGAAATCGATTTCGAAGGAGCTAGAAAAGTAAGGTGGGAATCCGGAGTCAGGAGGGGGTTCACCCTCCCTTGCCCCGGTCATCGTCGTCGTCGTCGTTTGCCGTCGCCAGGGGATGAGCGGGTGGTTCAAACCCTCCGATGTCGCCCGCAAATTGGCGACCATCAGCACGACGAGGGCTGGGCGGGGGGGTGCGGGGAAGGGGGATTATTTGATGTGTGAGCAGGGGTGGGCCCGCTCGCGGGAGGCTTGGGATGTTGAGGTTGGGGACGCCCCTGTTTTCGACGCGTCGAGGAATGTTTCCTACAGGCACGTGAAGCGCGCTCTCTCACAGATTTCGGTTCCCTCGTCGGGATATACGCTTTCCATCCAGAGTCATGTTTTGTATTTGTGAGGCCCGCTAAATGCCTGGGCTCAGACGGCCAAGAACCCTCTGTTTGTTGTGTTGTTCGCAACGCGAGGGTATCTGGGCTGGCCCGTTGCGCGGGGAGGGCGCAAGCAAGGGCACGGGTAGAAAAACGATCACCCCCCCTCTGTGCAAGCGCCGCGGTGGTGTGACCGAAGTCAGCTCACCCGCGACCCTCGAGCCTCGACCACCCCCTCGGGCCTCGAGCGTGCGCGAGCCTCTGCCAAAACTTCCGTTCGGACCTCGGGCCACCTCGAATGTCGAGTACGATCAAACCTTCGCTAAACAATGGTTCGAACCGTGAGCAGGCTCGGGCCTGTTGCGAGAAATTTGCGTGGACCGCCCATCGAATTTGTTGAAACTCTCTGCGGGAAAGTCTGCTCGAACCTCGAGCCCATTCGAACCTCAAGTGCCGAAAGTCCAGCTTGAGCTTCCGTCGAAAGACGTGCTCGAGCCTTGAGCCCCCCCACCCCGACCGTCGACCATTGCTTCCCAGGGCCTTCCCAGGAGTACGCTCTGGACCTCCTCGGGGGTGGGCTTTGACCACGATTTCGAGGGGAACCGCGATTTCGACTACGATTTTGAGGGGAACCACGATTTCGAGGGGAACCACGTTTCGAGGGGTGCGTTTCGACCACAAGTCAATGTGGGAGCAAGGGCCCTGCTCTACCCACTGCCGGAAAACCTGCTCGAATTTCGAAGCCCCTGTCGGAGGAAGGCCATTCGAGACTTCGGCGGCCTCTCCCGCCCGGCCCACGTCGGCTCGAAGTCGATCACTGGACGCCATCAGTGGTCTGTCTTGACGGCTTCCTAGGGGAATCCAGCCGTGGCGACGAGAAGCTTGCAGGAGGCCCAGGAAGAACTAGAAACGCCCTGGAGGGTCGCCGTTGTCTCGTCTGGCCTTCCTCTGGCGAGCGCCCTCGCACCTCTTGCCTCGGATCAAAGAAGTATCCCACCAAGGTTCGCCAGCGGGGTGCGAGGTTTATCGACACCTGACACCCAGTGAGCACACAGACATACGAGCCATTCACACGAAACACGCACCGGGCCAGCACATCCTGGCCGATCGGTTCTTGACGAACGCACGAACAAAGAAAGAACGCAGCCAGCATTAGGAGACACACGCGGGGCGTTTCCTCGGCGGTCGCCGCGGGCCCCACGGGGGTCTCGGCCCCTTCTCGGGATGGCGTCTGCTCGTCCAGGATCCATGCTGGATGTTTCACGGTGCCGGAACCTGCGCAGAGCGTAGCAGAGATGCCGGGGCGGAACAGGTCGACACACCCGACACTCGGGTCTTGTTCCTCATCCTCTTCCTCCTACCGCCTCCTCCCCCGGGGCTGCACGAATGCGGGTCTCCGAGATGGTGTTCGGAGCAAACGGTGTCGCAGGATCGCGCCGCATCGCCGATGCGCGGGCGATGCGGCTCGATGAGGACCCTGATGTTCTCCACGCCGGCTTCGCCGACGCTTCGCTGTTGTCGCCGATGCATCGGCGATGCGCTCAATCCTCCAACCCCACCTATCTGGACCCCATTTCAGCGACGGAAGAAAGAGAGATCGATTACGCTGACACTGGCGCGCAAGGCTGCCCGCGTAAAGTGGCGCGCAAACGCCCTCTCCTCCGCGCGGTGTGCAAGGGTTGGCGCCCCGCGCAAGCCACCGCGTACGGTCGTTGTGCCCTCTCGCATGAGACCCGTGCCTTTTCAACGCTCGTCTCCGGCGGCGGGGCCCTGGGGGAGTCAGAGGGAGAAGGCCTTCTCAGAAGGCGGCGGGATTTCTCAGAGGCTCTTGCGACTTCTGAGAAATCTTCTGCGGCTTCGGGGAAGGTTTAGAGCACTTCTCAGAAGGCCCGAGGCCTGCCCTTTGCCGCTTCTGCGCTCTGGGCTCGTCGTCGTTTCCCCTTCGGCCTTCCCCATTCCTCCCCCCCCCTTCCGCCTCCTGGGCAGAGAGCTGCCAGCGGAACTCCAGGTAATTTTCACTCCCGGCGTTTCTCCATCGTCTGCTGCCTAAGCGGGTGGGGATGCGCCGTTGCTGAGTGGAAGAGAACGGCCCGAGTCCTGCCCAGACTTCTGAGAAGGCCCAGACCCCCTTCTGCCTTCCCCCCCCCCCCGGCCTCGCCGCCGATATCAGGGAGGCCTCCGGCGAAGCGAGGCCGTCTGGCCTCCCGTCGCCGTGCGGCCGCGGCGGGCGCCCGCGAGGTCAGCTCCTTCACGATCCTCTGGGGCATCGTGCTGGGCTTCGTGCTGCTGCGGCTGCAGGACGGGGGCGGCCCCGCCCCGCCCGCGCCCGACGGGGCGGGGTGCTTCGGCCTTCGACGTCGAGGATGGCTTGGTCGTCGGGGCAGTACTCGTCGACATTGTCGTCGTCGTCTTCGTCTTCGCATTCGCATTCGCATTCGTATTTGTCGTCGACGTTGACGCTGTCCTGGTCGGCGACGTTGTGGTCGCGCCTCCGAGGAGGAGGAGGGGGAGGTCGGAGGTGGGAGCAGGAGGCAGGAGGACCAGGGTAAATCCAAGATGCACGCGCGATGCTGCAATACACCCTCCCGTCCCAAGTTCCCCTTCGTACGTCCATGCACATCCTCTTTTTCCACCACAAGAAGCAGCGCTCCAGAAGACAAACACTACATGGGCCTGCCATTTCGGCGAAGGGCCCGATTTGACAAATAATTGACTTGCATTCCTCCGGCACGTAGTCAGATATGCGAAAGGCTATGATCATAGAGTTCAACGAGGTGTCCAGCGAAATCTGTTCGTAGAAGGTCCGCCCCCATCCGTGTAATTGTTGCACAAACTTGCCTCTGTGGTCATGCAGTTCAGTGGAGTCTCGGTCCGGCCAGTGCTACATATGTTCAAGCTTCGCTCTTCTGCAAGAGGAAAGTACGAGACGATGCATCACATGTTTCAAAGAACAGTACTCCTCCCTTCAAACTCCCGCAAGCTTCCAATTCGAATATGCGCGGCGTTCAGGCGAACGCCCCATTTCGAAAACGTCATGCGCTCCACCCTTGCAACTGTTCAGATAAGCCGTGGGACATACGATAGGCGACATCCAATACACTTGTCAATGCGAGTCGTATCAATAAGCGCATCCCAACTTCCACTGCCGCCGCTGTGCCGATAATACCGACGTGATCCTACAGACATTGCGGCACTAACCACCAAGGGTTTTCCTTCAGAATATCCGCCAAGCTCGGGAACGGATGTACACCTGGCACTGCCGCTGAGACAACGAAGATGATGATGCCAGTGGAACAGGGACGAGGGCGGACATGACGACCGCAATCACGCCGACTCAGTAGGCCGATGTGCAGCAAAGCAAACCCCGGCGTTTGCCGTTGCAGAACAACCAGAAAAGGTCCAGCGACGGCGTCTAAGTAAGCACACGTGTGGTACAGCAACGGGGCATCTCGAGACGGGCAGCTAGCTCGCTCGCATGGGCAGCCAAAGTTGTCTTGAACCGAGATGGTACGTTATCCGAGATGGTTACAGAAAGAGGGAGAGAATGTCAGGAGCCACGATAGGGGGAAGAGGCATCGGGGGGGATGCACTGACCCCCAATCGCCCATTGATCGCCGATAGGGTTCTGGTCGCCCCACCCCGCCCAGGAACCTTCGGATTTGCTGTCAGGGGCCTGTCGCCAATATATCGGCGATGTATCGCCGATTCCAGGTCGATGCTCCCCCTTGTGCCAGCCACCCTCAGCCTTGCCCCACAGATGACGGGGAGGAGGAGGGGGACATCGGGCCGCTGCCGCCGGGAGGAGGGCGCGTGGTTCAGCAGGGGCTCGGCGCGGGTGCGCGCCCCCGACTCCCCTTGTGCTCCCTCTGCCCCCCTGCCCTTCCGCTCCTCGCTCTCCTCCGGATTCTCGTCCCTCCCCTGGCCAGTAGGGCGACGAGCTGGGTCCAGGAGCTGTGCGCACGCCTTCCCAGCTTGGCCAGGGACGCCTACACACCGCTCCTGGGCCGATGGTAGGCTGGACCTGTGCAGTGGATATGTACATATCTCGTCGCCCTACTGGCTGGTGCTCGGCGTGGTGGAGCCTCCTGCCCCAGTTTGGGGGGAGGCGCGCAGAGGTCATCACCCTGGCCTGCCTGTCGAAGGGGGAGGGGCGCACGGGCTGCTCGGGGCAGCCGTGTGTGCGTGTCGTCCCAGGGGCGATCCCAGTTTTCTGCTCCCGCGGGAGAGTTCGTGGCCACGGTGCCTCCCACGCCTCCAGCGCCAGGGGGGGAGGGGGAGTAGGCGTCGGGAGGAGGAGGAGGAGGAGGAGGACGAGGAGGAAAAGGAGAGACCAAACAGGGAGCAGGAAGAGAAGCGCCGCGCCCCCCCGCCCCTCCCCGCAGGAGGCCTTCCCGGAGTGAGGGGCGCCAGCCGCGGCCCGGCGCGGACGAGACGTTTTTGATGCGGGCAGGGGCGCATAGAAAGAGAGACGCCACGCCCGCGCTTAGTCTTCCTCCTCCTCCCTTCTCGTCCTCCTCGTCCTCCTCGTCCCACCTCCTCCTCCTCCTCCTCCTTATCCTTCTCCTCCTCCTCCTCCTCCTCCTCCTCCGCCTTCTCCCTGACTCCTCCGTCTTCGCGTCCTCCTCATCCTCCTCTCGTCCTCCTCCTCCGCCTGCTCCTCCTCCTCCTCCTCCTCCTCCTCCTCCTCCTCCCCTCCTCCTCCCGGCCCTCCGGGTCCACAGAATCGGAGGAGGGCGAGCTGAGACAATTGTCGTTATAGGCCTCCTTGATGGGGCCCGAGCAGATGGGGCCCGAGGATCGCATCGGCGATGCGGCGCGATTTGGAGCCCGTTGTTATCCGCGCCGACGCCGCCGGTGCATCGGCGATGCTTCGGCGATACATTGGTGATGCATTGTCGATGCGGCGCGATCCTTCGACCCCATTTACCCGGGCCCCATCTGGGAGGCCTCTAGCAGTTGACCTTCGGAGGATCCCCTCGTCGCCACGGCTGGGCGCAGCTCCCACGCGAGGCTTTCCCCTTTCAGACTCTGCTCTGGGCCCGCAGGTGATTGCCATTTTAGCGAGGCAAAGGGCCTTCCGTGTCCTCAACGTCTCCAAGCTGCAAGGCCGCGAGTCGGGAACCAATGCTCAGGATCGTGATCGTCCCGTTCCGCTCCGCTCCAGCACGAGGCCGAGCCCCTCTGCCCCTCCTCCGCACCCCATACACGAGACCCCGCCGCCCAGGACGGGCCGCTCGGCCTCTTTCTCCTCAGGGGTCCATGGAGCTCGGTGAGCTCGGACAATTTCTGCCTTCGGTGAGCTCTCTGCCAGCAATGGGCCACACCTGCACCTTCTTCGAGGGCCGCCAGGAGGTCGCGACGTCATTCGCAGTCGGCGGCTCGCGATTCGCCACTCATGCGCGTGCTCCTCGGCCCCCTCGTCTCCCCTGCCCCCCTTGCGGACGTCCGACAGTTTGACGTTGTAGCGTGTTTGTTTGTTTTGCTACATTTCTCTACATGCCGCTCTTCGGCTCGCGTTGTTTTAACCTTTTTGTTTTGTTGTTTCTCTATCTCTCTCTCTCTCTCTCTCTTTCTCTCTTCATCTCTCTCTCTCTCTCTCTCTCTCTCCTCCCACCCCTGGCCCCCCCTTGGCCGAATTCTACACCTATGTTGGACGGGCGATTCCCCAGTTGGACGGGCTACATCCCAGTTGGACGGGCTACACCCCGGCAAAGTTGTGTTATACCCCGGTTGGAGCCTTCTCAGACCCCCAAAACACTACACCAAATACCAGCAAACACCAAACCCCAATCAACAAACACGAACCCCCCCCCCAGGTCCCTGTCTCTCCCGCCAACGCTTTATCGAAGAAGCAGAATAAGAAATTGCGTATATAGATTTTACAGTTTGGGAGGTCCGCAAAGATTATTGGATCTATGCTCGACCCCCTTGGCGGCGCATCTAGCGCCGCCCCTGGCGCGCTCTGCGCGCCAGGGACGGAGGCCCAGCGCCGATCCACGAAATGCACACGGTGCTCCGAAAGGTTATGTAGATGCAGCGATTCCGTTTTGTAAGTTCATTCCCCTTGGCTGGCAAACAGACTACTCTCAAGCGCAATCCGTTGCATCGTCAATCGCATCAATGCCAAAGTGCAGCGCGCTCGTTCTTCCATGCCCTCCTGCTCCTCTGCCTATCGTCGCCTCTCTTTCTCCCTCCATCCTCCACCCTCGCCCCTCTCTCAGCCCCAACCTTGTTCCTCCTCCAACCTCCAACTCCACCCTCGCTCTTCCATCATCCTTTTCTCCCTCCTCCATCGATCATCCAGGAAGGGACGTCCTGCGCCAAGCTAGGTACTGGCCAACACCATGAGATAACATCGGTACATTCTGAAAAGATCTTGCCACAGCTCAATGTTGCCATAACGCCGGCAACACGTTAGCATACACACGACTTGGTAACAGCGTGAAGGATGCTTTGACAGCATGCCGTAGCGCATGACGAAGTACCTTTCGACCTCTCCCATCCTCTGTCGTGTTTTATCACCCTTTTCTCTTTCGTGTCCCCGCATGTTCTTTAGAGAGGGACGTTCGGCGCGCCAGAGCTGCCAAGAACTGACTGCAGAGTGCGCAGAGTGCGACCGTCTGCCGTGCGCAGACCTGGTGCGCCCACCCACCTGCGAGGGGGAGGGCCCTGAAGTCCAGCTACGCGCTCACCAGAAGCGAACACTGCATTCAGCAATGCTTGCTTCCAGTGGATTGGTTGTTTGGGTGCGAAAATGCCCCAGGCACAGTCGAAACCGAAGATTCTTCAGGCTTGCGCCACATCCGCCGACCCCTTAATTGAAGTCAATGATCAGATGGTTCAAAACCGTTTGGCGGTCGTTTTGGGGTTCTTGTCGGGTTTCTTGGGAGCTCTTCGGGGCCTGAGGGGGGCATCTTTGGGGCTGTTCGGGCTACTCCTGGGCTCGTCTTCGAGCTCTCTTGAGCTTCTTTGGGCTCTTGTTGGGCTGCTTTGGCGTCCTTGTGGGCCGTCTTGGGGCCTTTTTGGGCCCCCAGGGGTGCTTTTTTGGTGCCCCCGGGGGTTCCTGCGGGCGGAAAGCTAGATTTTGTAGATTTTTGGAGCCTAGGGGGCCGAGGTGGAGAAGGAGGGGGAGGAGAAGGAGGGGGACACAGAGAGGAGGCTCTGGGTTATGGGTTATGGGTTGGAGGCTGCGTGTATGTGTATCGGGTTCTCGCGGCGCGCCTCTCGGGAGCCTCTGGAAGGCAGTTTCGACGCCACTGGGCGGCCGTTTCGGAGGCTCTGGGAGTCTTTTGGGGGCCTCCTGGGAGCCTTTTGGGAGCTCCTTGGGGCGTCTTGGCTGCCTTTGGGGGGCCTTGAGCGGCCTCTTGGGGCACTCTTCGGGCTCCCTGGGGCTCCTGGGGGCGGACAAGTAGAATTTTGAATTTTTGGTCGCCCTCTTCGGCTCCTCTTGGTGCCGTCTGGGAGCCTTCTTGGGCCGTCTTGGGGCTCTTTTGAGCCGTCTTGGGGCCATATTAGGCCGGCGGTGTTCGGGGCCTCTTGGGCCGCCTTGGAGCGTCGGAAAGCCCACACGGCGAATGTGTAAAAAAGTATACGTTTTACGAAGGAGATGAGCCAATGTTTGCGTCTAGGGACCCTCTTGGGACGCACCTTGGAGGCCTCTTGGGGGCGTCTTGGGCCATCTGGAGGCCATCTCGGGTGTCTTTGATCGCTCTTGGACCGTCTGGGACCATGTGGAACTCTCTTGGAAGCCAGTTGGAACGCTCTTGGAGCGCTCTTGGGGCCGTCTTCAGGGCTCTCTTAGGCCGTCTTCGGCGCCTCTGGAGCCGTCTTGGGCCCCTCTTGGGCTGTCTTGGGGCCCTCTTGGAGGCTTCGTGGACCGTTTTGTGGCGGTCTTGGAGGCCTCTGGGGCCGTCTGGGAGCGTCGGAAAGCCCAAAAGGCGAATTTGTGAGAAATTCACGTTTCACAAAGGACACGGGCCAATGTTTGCGGTTAGAGGCCCTCTTGGGGCGTATCTTGGATGCCTCTTGGGGCCTCTTGGGGGCATCTTGGACCGCTGGAGGCCATCTTCGGTGTCTCTGATCGCTCTTGGACCGTCTGGGACCATATTGAGCTCTCTGGGAGGCGACTTGGAGCGCTCCTGGAGCGCTCTTGGGGCCGGGCCCTCTTGGGCCGTCTTGGACGCCTCTTGGGTTGTCTTGGGCTATCTTGGGACCCTCTTGGAGGCTTCTTGGGCCGCCTTGGTGCGCGGTATTGGGGCCCGCTTGGGCCGTCTGAGAGCATCGGAAAGCCAAGAAGGCGAATGTATGAAAATTGTCGGAGGTGAGGGGGTGAGATCGAAGTGGAACGGAGAGCCCCCCTACCGGGAAATCGATTTCGGTTTCGTGTTCGTGCGTGCCGTGCGTGCGGGCGAGGCGAAGCTGCGTGGGCGGGCGAGAGAAAGTCTCCTGTGGCTGAGGCGCGGCCGACCAAATGATTCTCCCCCGGGCGGCCGGTGGCGCGCGGTGTCCCGCCGGTGTCCCGCGGTGTCCCGCGGTGTCCCGCGGTGCCCCGCGGTGTCCCGCCGGTGTCCCGCGGTGTCCCGCGATGATGATGATGATGATGATGATGATGATGATGATGATGATGATGATAATGATGATGATGATGATGATGATGAGATGATGATGATGATGGTGATTATGATGATGATGATGATGATGATGCTGCTGCTGATGATGATGATGATGATGACGTCGATGATGATGATGGTGATGCTGCTGATGCTGATGATGAGGACGACGATGATGATGATATGATGATGGTGTCCCGATGATGATGATGATGATGATGATGATGATGTCGATGATGATGATGACGATGATGATGATGCTGATGGTGTCTTGATGATGAGGATGATGATGATCATGATGATTATGTTGATGATCATGATGATGACGATGATGGTGTCCCGATGGTGATGAGTATGATGATGTTGATGTTGATGATGCTGATTATGATTGTGTCCCGATGATGATGATGTTGATGATGATGAGGTTAATGATGATTATGGCGTCCCGATGATGATGATTATTATGATGGTGATTGTGATGTTGTTGATGATGATGGCGTCCCGATGGTGATGATGATGATGATGTTGATGCTGATGTTGTTAATGATCATGATGATGATGGTGCCCCGATAATGACAACGATGATGATGATGATGATGTTGATGATGATGTTGATGCTGATGATGATGTTGATGTCGAAGATGATGATGATATGATGATGATGATGATGGTGTTCCGATGATGATGATGATGATGATAATGATGATGATGATGATGCCAACGATGGTGATCATGATGGTGTCGATGATGATGCTGTTGATGATGATGATGACGATGACTGTGTCCCGATGCTGCTGCTGATGATGATGATGTTGATGATGATGATTGTGATGATGGTGATGATGATGATGATGGTGGTGTCCCGATGATGTTGATGACCGTGATGATGATGATGATGATGATGATGTTGGGGTTGATGATGAGGACGGTGTCCCGAGTATGATGATGTTGGTGATGATGATGTTGATGTTGATGTTGTTGATGATGATGATGACGTTGATTGTGAGAGTGGTTGTGAAATCGATAGTGAAATCGATAGTGAGACCGAACGTGATATCGATTGTGAGATCGATTGTGAGATCGATAGTCAAATCAATTGTGAGATAGATCGAGTGAGATCGATTGTGAGATCGATCGAGGGAGATCGATCGAGCGAGACCGATACTGAGATCGATAGTGAGATCGATAGTGAGACCGATCGAGTGAGACGTTGGTTCCTCCCCCCCCCGAACCTCCTTATCACCCGAAGGGTGGTCGTATAGGTATGTTTTACGAAGGGAATGGGCCAATTTTTGCGTCTAGGGACCCTGTTGGGACGCATCTTGGAGGCCTCTTGGGGGCCTCTTGGGGGCCTCTTGGGGACCTCTTGGGCCGTCTTGGAGGCCTCTGAGCCCATCTTTGGGCCAGCTAGGGCGTCTTGGAGCGCTCGTTTAGCGTCTCGGGGCCCTCGTGGCCGTTTTGGAGGCCTCTTGGGGCTTTCCAGGCCCGTCTTGAGGCCCTCTCGGGCCCGGAAAAGCTTCGTGGTGCGCTCGTCCCGGGCGAGGGGGGGGTCAAATCTCCGGTTTGGGGTCCTTTGGGGGGGGTATGGGGGGGGGAACTATCTCACACGCCTAGAGACCCACACGGGGTCGGCGGATAAGTATGTGTAGCCTTGCCAAGAGTACCCTTGCATCCTTGCATCTTCTGTCCATGCTGAACCACTTTCGATGGCCAGCCTCGCTCGAAAAGCTTCGACATAGGCGTCCAAAGGGCCTACTTCCGTTTCGCGCATCCTCGCTATCTGTCTTTATTGTAAGCCATGCGCTGTCCTGGTCTCCGCTCACGGGGTGGAGATCCCGGACACCTTGGCCGGGAGCGCGCTCCAGATTTGCTGCGGGGGGGAAGAGTCCCGAGAGCTTCAGTGCGGGAGTTCCCTAAGCCACGTGTGACAGGCCCGCTTCGATCCGACCCATGCGTGTAACTTGCTAATGTCAATGGTAATGTTGACGATCGCCATGGACACTATCTCTCAAGCCTTTTTCTGTCCGGACAAGGATGCCGGTCGACCCGTCCGCAGTCGCCTGTGCCTTCTCCATCGGCTCATTCTGCCTGCTGGCCCGCTCCGCGCCGCCGGCGCCCATCTGCGGTTGCCAGTGCGACTGCGGGTCGCCTGGCTGGTCCACCGCCCAGCTGCTCGCCGTCGCGGCGGGGCAGCTTGTGACGGGCTGGTTCGCGGCCCGCTGGTGGGCGCCACCGAGGCCGGCGTCGCCGCTCGTGGTGGCCGCAGGGCTGGAAGGGGTCAAGCAGCTGACGCTGCCGGCGGGGGCTCGCGGCCGGCTTGAGGGTGGGGCTCCACCGTCCGCCTGATGGCAGATGACCTCGCGGTGGCCGCCGGGAGGCGCTTCTGGGCCCTGTTCGACGCGTCGGAGGGGGTCTGGCACGAGCGCCTGGTGCTGCGGCGCACCGTCGGGGGCCACGTGGTGCTCACGCCCGACGGCGACGTCTATGAGGAACTGCTGGAGGACTACGAGGCTGCTCTGCCTAGTGGTGTGGCTGGCGGCATCCCGAGCCGGCTCTACGGGCCGAAGATCTTCCGCTACGCCTTCCGTCCGGGGGACATCGCTCACGGCAGCGCCTTCCGGCGGAGAGCCGAGGCCTACCTGGCTGGCTGGGCTGGCGCGCCTCCGGCGGCCGAGGGAGGAGGGCGGGTGCCCGCGCCCCTTGCTGACGCTGGCGCGATGTCCGCCCCCGCGCGTGGCGCGCTGGTGCCAGCCGCCGACGTCGACCCAGGCTTCTATGACCCCGGCGCGCTGGTGGCGCACGCCTGCCTCGTGGGCTCCGAGTGGTTTGTCGGCGAGAACCAGGGTCCCCGCCGACGCGGGGAGAGCATCACCATCCGCCATTCGGACCTCGCATTCGGCGTCGCGGGCCAGGCCCTGCTGTGCCGGGAGGGAGTCTGGTACCGCCTCTGCCGCGACCCGCCGACGCCGTTGCCAGCTGGCGAGGGCGAGGCAGCCGCGGCGGAGGACCTCCGCACGCTGGCTGTCGAGTACAACGTGCGCGGCGAGCGCACGCGCAGCTTCGAGTCAGCTCGTCACCTGCTGCGCGAGGAGGTCCTGGACGACGCCTGGCCCGTGGAGGGCCCGCGCACGGTGCAGTGGCTCATCGAGGCCTTTGCCCACAGCGGCATGGCCCGCGTGCCCCGCCATCACTGGTGGAGACAGGCGCTGGGGGCGACCACGTCGGACCCGGGGATCGACGAGCACCTCTTCCTCTCGGAGTGCATCCAGCATGGGCTGCAGTATGACCAGCTCAACATCTGCAACCTGGCCTGCTTCGAGAGCATGGCCCGCCGCTACCAGCTCTGGGAGGAGCGGTACCAGGAGCGCATCCGCGCCTCCACGGAGGGATCGGTGGCGGCGGGCCTCGCGGCTGAGAGGCACTTGTTCCTCGGCGGCGACCGCGCCAAGGGCTGCGCCCTCATCTCGCCCGAGCTGGAGCGCTGGGTGGCGAAGCGCATGGAGGAGCAGGCCGCCGTGCTCAAGGAGCGCCGCAAGGGCCGTGAGGAACGGGCTCTGGCGGCGGCGGCCACGGGCGGCGGCGGCGGCGGCGGCGGAGCTGGCCAGCCGCTCGGCGCCGACCACAAGAAGAAGCTCAAGGACAACAAGAAGGGCAAGGACTGGCAGACTGGCACCCCGGGCGCTGGCTCGGGGGGGCAGGGCTGACGCCTTACCCACCCGTGCTACCCTGCAGCGGCCCCGGAGTCCCCCCGGCTGGGCGCCGCTTCTACACCACCAGGGGAGGCGGCTGAGCGCTTGCGCCGCCGCTATGCCGCCAGGTCTTGCGGCAGATCCCAGGGACCTGCTGCCGCTGCCAGCGCCCACCTCGCCTGTGCTGCGTCAAGGAGATGCGCTGGGCTTGGAGTGGTTCTCGGCTGGGCTGCAGACCCTCAATGAGATGGGAGGGCGCGGTGCTGTTCGACGGCCTGGAGCAGCCTCTGGGCCTCAGACTGACGCGCTGGAGCGGCTTCGCAGCTCCTATGCCACCGTGCCCAGCTGCCCGTCGGACCTGACCGCCGACTCGGCCACTCGCGCCGTGATCGGCTCCGATCCTGGCTATGGCTTCGATGACATGGCCAGCGGGAAGTACGCCTCCTACCAGCGCGGGAAGGTCTCTCTTCCGCGCGTGGCCTCTGGCGCGGTGGAGCTAGCTGCTGCACTACCAGAGGGTCCACGTTCTCTGCTGATGGGTGAGTCTGGCACTTTGCTGATGAGAGGCTCCACATCTTCTTCTTCGTTGGCGAAATTGGCTTTTGACCGAAGGCTGGCAAGCAATCCTCGCACTTATGGGAAGTTTTTGGCTGACCTTCTCGAGCGTGACATGCTCGAGGTGGGCACTTCGTTTTCACAGGTGGCGCCCTTCTTCGTCTACAAGAAGGATGGGACCCTCAGGCTGATCTTCGACACAAGGGCCTCCAACACCGAGTTCGCGGAGCCCGACTACGTCCCACTGGCGGCGGCGCAGGCCCTCGGCAACATCGAGCTGCAGGCGGGGGAGCGCCTCTTCGTCGCGCAGGGCGACGTCACGTGCTGCTTCTACCAGTTCTTGCTGCCAGTGCACCTGCGTGAGGCCTTTGGCCTACCGCCTGTGCCCTGGGCCGCACTGCCGCTTGCCGCTCGTCGGCTCGTTGGGGCGCCACCGCCGGACGGCTTGGTGCGCCTGCGCCTGAGAGTGGTGCCGATGGGCTGGTCATGGGCGGTCTACTTCATACAGCATGCCATGATGGAGATACTTCGCCCCTGTGCCCCGGCGGACCGCTGGTTGGCCCAGTACGTGCCTCGCGAGCCCGTCTGCCCTGGCTCGGGGGCCTCTCTCATCTACATCGACAACTTCGCGGCACTTGGCACGAGCCCCACGGAGGCGAACGCTCGCCTGGAGCAGATGCTGGGCGCCGTGGCGGCCGCTGGAGTGGACGCCGCGCCAGAGCCTGCTGGCGCCCCGCTGCTCGGGTTCGAGCTGGACCCGTCGGGCACGCAGTGGCGGCCTACGGCGAGGAAGTTTTGGAAGGTAGCGCTGGCCCTCCGCACGTTGGGTTGGGGCCGTCAGCGCCGCACAGGGCGCCAGATTGCCCGGGCCGTCGGCCACGCCTCGGCCATCATGCTGCTGCGGCCCGAGATGCTGTCCATCTTTTCGGCCGTGTACGTCTTCGCCGACCGCTACTTCGGGCAGCCGGCGCGCGTGTGGGCCTCAGTGCGGCGCGAGCTTCGAGCTGCCTGGGCGCTGCTGCCGCTCGCCGTCGCCGACATGAGCCTACCCTGGTCGCCCGCCGTCGCCTCGGTCGACGCCTCGCTGCATGGCTTCGGCGTCACCGAGAAGGCCTGGCCCCCCGCTGAGGTGGGCCGCGTCGGCCGCGCCTCAGAGCGGGGACGGTACCGTGGGGCGCTGCGCACCTCCCGCCGCCCGCGCTGCCTGGTCGAGGGTGAGGAGGCTGAGCCCTCGCTGAGCGACATTGTCGACGCCTCGCCCGAGCAGCTGCGTGCGCTGGGGCTGCGCTCCGCCTTCGAGGAGGTGCCGTCGGCCCTGGCGCGCGGGGGCGACTGGGGCGTGGTGGCCGCGCGCCGCTGGAGGCGCAAGGACAAGATCCTTGCGCTCGAGGCGGAGGCAGCCTTGTGGCAGGTTCGGCGGCTGGCCCGCAGCCGCCTGAGCGCCCAGAAGCGGCACTTAGTTTTGTCGGACTCTATGGCCTGGGTCCTCACCGCGTGCAAGGGGCGGAGCTCGTCGTGGTACCTGCTGCGGAGGTGCCGCGAGTTTTGTGCCATGTGCTTGGCCCTTGGAGCACGTGTTTCTTTTCGGTGGATTCCCTCAGAGTGGAACTCGGCGGACGAGCCCAGCAGGAGATACGACCCATCTTCGTCTCATCATGCTCGTCACTTTCACACCGCACTTGCCCCCTCAGCGGATTGCCCAGCGGACGTTGAACGCAGCCACCAGCCGCCGCCTCGGCTCGAGGATGATTGCGGCGACTCGCCCTTCACCCAGCCGATCGCGCTCGCCGAGGCGCGGCTTCACGGGCCAGCGGGCGCTGCTGGGCTTCGCGAGCAGCTCGCGGCGGGGCGCTCCAAGCGGCGGGCCTTTGCGGGGCCCTTCGCCGCGGGGCTCCCTGGGCCCGAGCCCGCTGCTCTGCAGGGTGCTGGCACCGGCGGCGAACCTGAGTCCGAGCCGGGCCCCGCCTGCCCCGAGTCGGGTGCTGCGCCCTTTGGTGGCGCCGGAGACGGGGGGCGGCGTGGCGCTCGGGAGGCCGCGGCCAGAGGGCATTGCTCTGCCTCGCCGCCACGCCTGCCCTGCCAGACCGCCCCCTCTGCAGCCTGCGCCGGCCTCGGGCCGGCTGCCCTGCCGCGCGCTGGCTGCTGCTGGCCCCCTGGGCTTGACCCGCCACCCTGCGCCGGGCCGCCTGGTCCCCTACCGCGGGGAGTCTGGCTCGGCGCGCCGGCGGCGCCGCGAGACGGCGCGGCGGCGCCCGGGCTCATCGCTGCACTCGGCCGCCCGCAGTGCGGAGGAGGCGGAGGAGCTGGGGTTCCACATCACCTCCCTGGCTGCCGCGGCCGTGACGACGGCCACGCAGAGCAACTACCTGAACGCCCTGCGCAAGCTGCTGGCGTGGCTGCACGTGCCCAGTGCCCCTCAGCGCCTCCCTGCAAGCGAGTGGGACCTGTTGCTGGAGCAGTACGTGGAGTTCCTGCACGACCGCGGGCTGCCCGAAGGGGATGCCTCCAGCACGCTGGCCGCAGTGCGCTGGGCGCTGCCCGAGCTGCCGCGCCCGCTGCGCCGGGGCTTGCCGCTGGCGACTGCTGCGGTCACTGGGTGGCGCCGGCTCGAGAAGCCGCTGTCGCGCCCACCAGTCCCTCGGTCGCTGGCTGTGCTGATGGCCCTGCGACTCTGCTCCGACGGCAAGGCGGACTACGCGCTGTTCCTGCTGTTGACGTTCGAGACGTACATGCGGCCGAGCGAGGCGCTCAGCCTCGTCGGCCTACAGCTGGTGCCGCCCGTGCCGAACGAGAGGGGGGCCTGCCAGTTCTGGACCATCCTGATCCGCGCGAGCGAGCTAGACGTGCTTGGCAAGACCGGCGAGTTCGACACCAGCGTCGCCCTGGACCTGCCGCGCCACCGCCTGCTGGAGTCGGCGCTGCGCCTTCTGAAGGCCAACAGGGGGGAGCGGGAGCGGCTCTTTTTGTTCCACTACACCGACTTCCTCCTGGCCTGGAACAGCTGTCTCCTCGGCTTGGGCCTGGCGCAGCTGAAGGTGACGCCGTACTCCCTGCGTCGCGGGGGGGCCTCGGAGGACGTGTCCTCCCGCTCGCGGGCCCTTCTCGACGTGCAGAAGAGGGGCGGCTGGCGCTCGTTCCAGAGCGTGCGGCGCTACGAGAAGCATGCCAGGCTGGCCTCGATGATGCACCGCATCCCTGCGCAGCTCCGCGAGGAGGCGCAGCGCCGCGAGCGCGAGCTGGCCCGGCTCTTGCTGCCAGCCTGCGGGCGGCGCGTGCAGATGCTACCATGCTGAAGCACAGCGTCTTCGTTGACCTCTTTGCTGGCACTGCGCCGGTGAGCAAATACCTTCGCCGCAAGGGCTACGCCTGCATAGCCTTCGACAAGCTGCTGGGGCCGCAGTTCGACCTCTGCCGGCGCGAGGTGGTGCTCACCATTGCTGGCTGGCTTCGTGCAGGCCTGGTGTGGGCCCTCTGGTTTGCGACTCCGTGTATCACCACCACTCGTGCCCGCACGGATAGATCAGGGCGCATGCCTCCGCCGCTGAGATCGTCTGAGCATTACCGTGGCTTGCCTGACCTGTCTGCTAGCCACCGCGCACAGGTGCGCGAGGCCAATAGTCTCATTGACTCTGGAGGCCGCCTCCAGCAACTGGCCTGGGATTTGGGCATCTGCTGCGGCGAGGAGAACCCACAGACCTCCATCCTCTGGTGTTTTCCTTCTCGGCGCCGAGCTCTCGCTCGCGGCTCCGTGGTCGATGTGGATTTCTGTGCTGCTGGAGGGCCCATGCGCAAGAGAACCAAGCTAGTCTTTCAGCACTGTGGCACGGTCGAAGCCCCGCACCTGCGCTGCCACGGTCGCGGCGGGCTCTGTTCATTCACTGGTCGTAAACATGTGCACATCCGAGGGAAGATGGGGGGTAAATGGCTCTCGAAGGTTGCGGAGCCATACCCCCCAGAGATTTTTAAGTTCATCGGCGATGTTCTCATTCATGTAGTCCATCGCCGTGCTGTGGCCACGCTCAGCCAATTGTGAATCGTCTTGCTAGCCAGCTTACTGCATAGGAATGGCGTGATTACGGGATTTCTGTCTCTGTTCCTGCGCTGGCGTCATCCAGCGTGTGCGCAGGGTCCCGCATGATAAATCGCCAGCGTTGCACTTCGACTGACAAAAAGTGCTGGCCAGAGAGCGGGTCATGCTAATGTCAATGGTAATGTTGACGATCGCCATGGACACTGTCTCTCAAGCCTTTTTCTGTCCGCCCAAAGCCAGCCCTCGCCTCGACAGACTTTTTGTTGTGGATTTCAGTCTCTGTTCCTGCGCTGGCGTCATCCAGCGTGTGCGCAGGGTCCCGCATGATAAATCGCCAGCGTTGCACTTCGACTGACAAAAAGTGCTGGCCAGAGAGCGGGTCATGGCTTTGCTCAGACGTGTGCCGTGTCTCTCGGCAAGGACCACTGAGGAGCACGTTGGATCACTTTTCGAGCAGATGAGCGCACGAAGCCGAAACATGCGTGGGGAATGAACCTCCGAGCGATGGCAAGGTAAACCAGGCGCCCCATGGTTCCTCGGCCACTTCCGCCACTGACACCCGGGCCGCAGCAGCAGACCTCTCTGGCAGTGCCGCCTCCTGGCCGCCTGCGCGTTGCCAGGGCGGCGGGAGCGGGTGATCGGTACGGTCGAAGTGGGTCAGGGAAGAGGTGGCCCAAGGACCGGCAGCAGTTCCGATGCATTTTGAACAGGACTCGGTGTTGGTGTCCCCGCGGATGATGTTTGCCCATTTGAGACAGAGGGCCAGTTGCCCAACACTGGCCGCTGTCGGTATCGGACAACATTTGCTGCTGGGCATCGTACCCGTTATTCCGTACCCCTTTCGGGCGTCCGAAGGTGAGAAAACGCATCCAACGGGCAGGTTGTTGCCACCATGGCAGTCACGCGGGCAATCTTTATATCCATATCCACTGCGTCTTGGGTTTTTCGGGGCGCGACGCCGAACACCCGAGAGGCAGTGGATATTTATAGATTCCTGCCACCATCGGAGGCTGGCCCCGCTGGAGCCGAGGCCCCCCCAGCCTGACCTGAGGCCCCCCCAGCTCCACCTGAAGCGCCCCAGCAGCCGTCGAAATCACCCTTCTTGAACTGGACCGTGGCAGTCGACACGCGGGTGGCTTAACGGCATGCCGCCGCCGCTGGCCAGGCCAGGCCAGGCCAGCCCGCCCCGCCGCAGCACGCCGCTTCTGGGGCGCCGCGAGTGCCCGCGAGCGCGCGCGTCGCCTCGCGGTTGCGCTGCCGCTCCGGGCGTCTCTCCCGTGTTGCCGCTTCGGGCGTTCTGCAAGGGCCGTTTTGGCAGCCGGCACTTGCGGCGCGATGAGCGCGGGTGTGACGACCATTTTGGCTCAAGCCTCACTTGGACCCCGTCTGGGGTCCAAAGGGGGTGCGAGCCCCGTTGCCTGTCTGGCTCAGTGGCGCCGCCCCCCCGGCCCGCGCGTAGGGCAATCCGCGCGCGAGGCCGCATGCCGGGCGGCCGCCGCGGCAAGCCGCCGGCTGGGGGCGGCCCCGCCGTGTCGCCGCAGCTGGGGAAGGCGCTGCTGGCCGCGTGCCGGGCTGCTGGGATGCCTGGGCTGGGGGGCGGCGGGGGGCAGCAGAGGCAGCAGCGGCAGCAGCAGAAGCAGCAGAAGCAGGGGCAGGAACGCAAGGCTCCGGAGGGCCCGCGGCTGCCTCTGTGGGGCTGCTCCTGCGGGGTTGCCGACAATTGGGCTTGTCGGACTGCCTGCCGTGCATGTGGCCGCCGTGGCCCGCGCGCAGCCGTAGGGAACACGCCGCCCCCCGGAGCGGCGCGCCCTCCTCCGGCGGCTGCTGCTGGGCGGACCTGGGCGCAGGTGGCGGGTGCCGCGGGGGCACCCCCAGGCGCGGCTCAGGCGGCGGCGGCAGGGCCGCAGTCGGCGGAAGCCCCTCGCGACCCCGCTCCGGCAGCGGCGCCGACGGCTGCGGAGCGCCTCGCAGGCCTACGGGCCCGCATCGCCGCCTTCCAGCCGTTCCCGGAATGCGCCGCCACCGTGGTGCAGTTGGAGGCGGAGGCGGCAGCCATTGTGGAAGCAGAGCGGGCTGCCCGGCCGCTCGAGCGCAGGCTGCAGTCGGCGGTGGACTCCCTGCGCACGCGGTCCGCGGCGGCCCAGAAGGCGCGGCAGGCCGCCCTGGACGCGCAGGAGGTGGCCGATCAGGCTGTCCAGGCTGCCGCGGCGATGGAGGCCCAGGCGGTGCACGCCGAGGCCGAGGAGGCGGCCGCCCAGCAGGCGCTGGTGGCGGTGCAGGCCGAGGCCGCCGCTGGAGGAGCCGCTGCGCCCGCAGGCGGGCCCAGCGCGCCTGGGGGAGGGCTCGATGCGGCCTTCGAGGCGATGGCGGCCGCGGCGTCCCCCGCCGCACAGGCCGCGGTGGTCGCTCTGCTGGCGCAGCTTCGCGGGGTGTTGGCGGCGCCGCCAGGTGGCGCAGGGCTTGTTGGGCCTGCCGGTGGTGCGGTGGCGGCGGCAGGCCCAGGCGGCGAATCAGGGCTGCACGGAGGCGCGGCGGCTGCGGCGCCGGCCGATGCGCGCATGCCTGCCGCCGATGCTCCTGGGGAGGCCGGACCTCCGCCGGCTCCGCTCGGCAGCGGCAGGCGGCGCGCGGCCTCCGCAGGCGCGAGGGCTGCGCGATGGTACTCCCCGCTCCGGGCGGGGTCCGAAGACGGCGACCGCTCCCGTTCCACGGACCGCGGAGGCTCCCCAGAGGCCCGCATTCCGCTCTTCGCCCAGCCCGCGCACCTGCCGGCCGGGCAGCGGACTCTGCCCTTGCGGCGATGCGCGCGCCTTGCCGCAGCGGCACCTGGCGGTGCATAATGGTGCCTCGCTCGCGCAGCCGTCGGCGTCGGGCACCCTGCAGCAGCCAGGGCGTGCAGGTGAGTGGTGCCGTGGAGGACCCGAATAGCCCAAGTGCAAGCTGCGGATGTGCCGCGGGGCTGCTGCTGGCCGCCGCCCGGGCCGCCACCCGCATGAGGTTGCCGGGCGAGGCTCCCGGCAACCGCCCGGGCCGCGATCGCACGAGTGCGAGCTGCGGATGCGTCGCGGGGCTGCTGGCGCTGCTCCGGCCCCTCCGGGATCCCAGGCTGCTGAGCCCTTGGAGGGGGGTCAGGGTCGGGGAGGCGCGGCGCCCTGGCCCAGGCCGCACGGTCAAGGCGCTCGTGGCCAATGTGACTCGCTGGAGCGCGAGCTGGCGCGGCGCGCTGGCAGCGCAGGCCGTCGTGCGGTGCGTGCAGGAGGCCCGCATTCCGAAGCTGGAGGCGGCGGCGGCGGCCGCTGCAGCGCGTGGCCGCGGGATGCGGCTGCACCTGGGCCCAGAGCAGGATGGCGAGCACCTCCTGGCTGCCGCACACGCGCCCGGCAGTTGTTCAGCCCGGGCCGAGGCCATGTCGGGCCTCTCTGGCCGGCACCCGGGCCGCTTCCAGCACCTGGCACTTCACCTAGGAGGGAATCGTGCCGCCCACCTCCTCAACGTCTATGGGTACGCTGGAGGGCGGACCGACCGGGAGCGCAACGCCGACCTGATCCTGGAGGGCCTCGAGTGGCTCCGGGGCCTAGGCGGGGCGCCCGCGCTGCTGGTAGGCGACCTGAATTGCAACGTCGCCGAGTCGGGCCTGGAGGGCCTGCTGGGCATGGCCGGGTGGCGGGACCTCCTGGCGGCGGCTGGCCCTACGTGCATCCCCTCCGATGGGGCCCCATCGAGGCTGGACTACGTGCTGGCGAATCCGGAGGCGTTGGGGCTCGTCGACCGGGTCGGCATCCGGCGGGACTGGGTTCGCCACCCACGCGGCCCTCTGGGTGGAGTTGCGCGCGTCGGCCCCGGAGCGAGCGCTCATGAGGCGCCCCGTGCAGCGTCTCGACGGCGATGCCATTGAGGGCTGGGGGGCGCGGGAGGCCCGGGAGGCCGCCGCCACGGTGGTCGCTGGCTTCGGCACGCCCTTCCACGGCGCGCTGGGGCGGCACGACGTCGAGGCGGCATGGCAGTCGCTCCGCTCGGCCATGGCGGCATGGTTGGCGAGTCGGCGGGGGCCCCAGCAGCTCCGCCCCGGCCCCATGCGGCTGCCACGGTGGCCGCCGATCGGCCGCCGACGAGAGGGGGGGGAGGCGACGCCGCGGATATGCAGGCGGACGCTGCCCTCCTCCGCCTTCGCCGCCTGCGCGGCCTCCGTCACGCGCAGCGGAGGGCCCCATCGGCGCGCGAGGTCGCGGTGTCCACGCTGATGGCGCTGCGGCAGGCCGACGCCGACCATGCGGTCTGGCGGGCGGCGCTGGCAGACCTGCGACTGGACGTGGAGCTCCCGGCCACCTTGCTGGAGCATGCGGAGGCCGAGTGGCGTGCCGCCCAGGCGGCAGCGCGATCCCAGCGCAGGCAGGAATGGCGCCGCTGGGCCCAAGAGAGTTTGGCCAACGCGCAGGGCCGTCTCTATCGATGGATCCGAGGCGGGTCGATTCTCGAGGCAGATTTGGTGCCCGACCCGGCGGCTGGCGCGGCGGCCGCAGCAGCCGGAAGCCGGAGCTGGCTCCTGGCGCTCCGTGGCGGCCCAGCGGCGCGCCTCCGCCACTTCGAAGGGCCGTGGCGCGCACTCTGGCAGCGGCAGTCGGCGCCGCCGCTGGGCGAGGAGTGGCTTCAGGCTTTGGATGGCCTCCCAGCGTTCCCCGAGCGGGTGCCCTGGACGGCGGAGACGGCGTCCTCGCTGCTTCGCCGCGTGCCTCGGCGGAAGAAGCCGGGTCTAGACGGGTGGACCGTGAAGGAGCTTCGATTGCTGCCTCCGGAGCTGCACGGGTGGATCGCCGAGCTGTTCGAGGAGATCGAGGCCTGCGGGAGCTGGCCTAGCGAGCTGGTGGAGCCGGAGGGCCTCCTGCTCCCGAAGCCCGGGGGTGGCGCAGACCCCATGGACAGGCGCCCGATATGGCTCCTGCCCATCTTGTACCGCATGTGGGCGGCAGGCAGGGCCCGCCTGTTCGCTCGGTGGCGCCTACGGTGGGCCGGCGAGGAGGTCCAGCGAGGAGCAGAGGAGCTGGCCTGGGAGCTCGCGCTGGAGCTGGAGGCGGCGGAGGCGCTGTCCGAGACGATCGCCGGGGCGGCGCTCGATTGGCGGAAGGCGTACGACCACATCGACTTGGCCTCCTTGCCGGGCATCCTGGCGCGTGCCGGCGTCCCTCAATGGGTGTTGGCCCCAGCCCTGAGGGCCTGCACGGCTCCGCGCCGGACCCGGGTCGGGCGCGCCATCGGCGAGGCATGGCAGCCCGCGTGCGGGCTGCTGCCCGGCTGCGCCTTGGCCGTTTTCTTCCTGAGCGTCCTCACGCTGCCGTGGCAACGGCGCACGGGGGAGCTGGACGACCGGCTACGGCGGCGTATCTACGTCGACGACTTCACGCTGTGGGCGCGGGGCGGCCAGGGCGAAGCCGGCGAGGTGGCGGAGTCGGTCGCCAGCGCATTGGCCATCACTGCCGAGTTCGAGCTCGCCATGGGCTGGCGGCTCAATCGCGACAAGAGCCGGCAATTCGCGAACACCGCGGCGCTCCGCAGATGGCTGGCGGCCCAGACCCCTCTGATCCCTGCCGGGCGGCAGTTCCGTGACCTCGGGGTGGTCGCCGCCGCGGGCCGGGTGCCTCGCTGCGCCGTTGCCGGCTCCAGGGCGCGCGCAGCTGGAGTGCGGTTTGCGCGGATCGGGCGGCTCCCCTTGGAGTTCCGACACCGATGCATGCTGGGCGCTGCTGCCGGCACTTCGGCGGGGTTGTACGGCGCCTCGCGCGGCCGCCCACCGGCGAAGGAGCTGGCCGGGCTGCGGGCGGCTGCGCGGCAGGCTGTGTGCCGAGGCGGATTCCGCGCTGCCGCAGAGGTGGTCTTTGGGGTCCTGAGCCCGACGTGGCGGCTGGACCCAGCGGCGGTCGTCGCCCTCGCGCCGTTGTGGCAGGCGTCGAAGGCGCTCCGCAGAGGGCACTTTCCTTTGGCACTCTGGCGGGCCACGGACGGAGCCCGCGCGGCCGGGCACGGCCGCGGCGCCGGCCCTGTCGCCGCGGCCGCCTGGAGCTTGGCGCAGCTCCGCCTCGGCGACGACGTCGAGCGCTGGACCGGCGTCCCTGCTTGCCCAGACGGGTGGCGCCCGGCCGACCAGCCGCTCCAGGCCACGCGCGCTGTGCTCCTCGAGGCACGGGCGCGCAGGGAAGCGGCTGCCGTGGCAGGCAGAAGGGCTGACTTCGCGCATGTCGCGCGCGGGGTGGACCGCTGGGCAACCAGGCGGCTGCTGGAGACCGGGGCCCTCGCGCCGGACGCGGCAGGGGCCTTGCGCGCAGTGCTGTCTGGGAACGTCGTGAGAATCGGTGGCGGCGAAGTGGGGCAAGCCGGCCAGATGCCCGCACTGCGGCGCCGCCTGCGAGGATCGCGAGCACCGCTTCTGGGTCTGCCCAGCCTGGGGCGCCGACAGGGCCGCCGCCCTGGCGACGGCGCGGATCTCGCAGGCCGCGCTGCGCGCGCGGCTGCCGCCGGGCGTGGCGAACACGGGCGTGCTGGCGACGGATGTCCGGCTCGCCGCCCTCGCCGAGGAGGCCACGCGGGCTCTGCCGCTAGCCCCGCCCCCGGCGGCCCAGATGCCCGTGCCGCCCCAGTCGCGCAGGAGGGCTTGGACTGACGGGGCGTGCGAGCGGCCACAGGACCCGCTGATGGCCCGGGCGGCTTGGGGGCTGCGCCTGGAAGGACCCCGCGGCACGAGCGACCACAGCGGGCCGGTGGACGCGGCGCAGACCGCGCAGCGGGCTGAGCTGACCGCCGCGGTCCAAGCTGTCAGCCTTGCGGGGGCGCCCGTAGAGGTCATCACGGACTCCCGCTACGTCCGCAATGGCGTTGCCGCCCTGCGCGCCGGCGCGCGCTACCTCGACTGGACGCACTCCGACCTTTGGGAGCGAGTCGCGGAGCACAGCCGGAGCGGCTTCCTCACGGCGCGCTGGGTCAAGGGCCACACGACTGCCGAGGAAGCGCTCGCCCGGGGGCTGTCCGCTGAGGACAGGGCGGGCAATGCAGCCGCCGACCGCCTGGCGGGAGAAGCGGCCAGGATCCGCCCCCCCCCGCCCGCGCTCTGCTTGGAACGCGACTTCCAGCTGACGGCGCTGGCCGCGGCGCAGCGCGTGCTCGCCGCGGTCGAGCTGGCGGCCTTGCGAGCCAACCACGAGAGCCGCGGGCCCGAGGGCCCGCGCGTGCGCCGCCGCTGGACGGCCGCGCGAGGGCCCCGCGCCGCCAGGAGGGCTCAGCCGCCGCCCGCGGCGCAGGCGGCGCCGGCTCCCCCTCCGCCGCCGCGCCGGCGGACCCGGGCAGCGATTGAGGCCGGCGGGGCCGTCGCGCCTCCTGCGCCGGCCGAGGCAGCGCGCGCCCTCTTCGCAGGCGCCGCATGGAGGGTGCACGCAGCTGCGCAGGGCCCGGGCTGGGTGGCGTGCCTGCGTTGCGGCGCTTCGGCGGCGCGGTGGGCGCAGCTGTCGGCGAGGCCCTGCCCGGGGTGGGCGCTGGCGCTGCCCCCGCGGGCGGCGATGCTGCTGCTGACGCCGGCGGTGCGTGCCGGCGGTGGCTCGGAGGCTTGGCGGGCCGCCTTGGAAGCGCGGCTGCGGGCTCGGCCGGGGCCGCCAGACTAGTTAATTCGTAATTCGGTGCACCTCCTCCCCCCTCCTCCTCCTCCTCCTCCTCCTCCTCTCTCTTCAGCCGCGGGGCGCCCTGTTCGCATCGTGACGACCATTTCAGCGGTTTGAAAATGAAATCCTGAGAGGAATAGAGCCTCGAGGTCAAAACAAACATACAGACATGTAAATGTTCGGAGGTCCGCGCGGAGATCATACAGGTTTCTCTTCCTCCAGGTCAGGGACACATGCTCGCATTGATGGCATAATACAGACAGCTAGTTTGGATTCGAGCAGGCGTCGACGTTGCTATGCCCGCTAGTGTATGCGGCTTGCGAGGCGCAACTGGACAGCCACAGCCACAGTTGTCCAGCCGTCGCCCTCAACGCAGCAGGTTTGGTGTGACACACATGAGGTCAGTCGCGCAGCGCGCAGCCGTGTGTGGTCATTTGGGCAGTGGGGTGATGGGGTCACGGAGACGGGTAATGACAGGATGTGACGCTGGTTGTGATACAGAGCCTGTTGTGGCCATGGGGCTCTTTTGATTCTGGGCATCCGGGAACGCACCATCATCTAATGAACGAACGGAGCAGAGTATTTGGTGGTGAATGGGACGGTCAGAACAGGAGTAGCGGGTACAGATGGACGACGGCGCTATGGCTCGCAGCCATTTGTTGGGTTTGCTCCCCGCCAGGGCCGTGCCCGCGTTGATGGAAGGACAGCCCGTTTCTTGCGCTGCCCAGGCGCAGAGACCAGGAAGCCACGTACGCGTCGATTATCAAATTCGTCGACAAGTGATGGTACCCTTTTAGGTGTGAAAACGAAGATCCCGATCCGCCTCGCACGCCCTGTGTACCGTGACCGCCAGGCCCAGCGCGTGCCGCTGCACCCTGAGTGTCCCACCTCGTGCTCTCGATTCATCATGACCGCATGCCGCGGCCGAAAGGCCCAGAGTGTGTTTGTGCTTCCTGGGTATCGCGCCTCTTGGGTGGGCATCGCTTGAAGCAAGTGAACATGATGTTGCTGCCCTGGCCGTTTTCTGCTCGATCTGGGAACCACAGGCAGGGGGCCCATTGTGGTTCCAGAGGTGTGCCACGAGGCTGATTTGGGGAGTATCCTGGATCGATGCCCTTTTTACCATGGACTCTGTACGAAAACGCAAATCGATGTTGTGGTCGAACCCAAGCGCGGACATTTGGCACTGCCGAACAATCGAGATGGAGTTCACGTGTTTTGGTTTGATCGGAAGGACTATCGAAAAGCCATTCGAGATGAATCCAGCGGGCTGTGTCTTGAGTAACATCGAGCCGCTGGATGTCATGGGCACGCGGGGGAGTCTCAAACATGAGCGAGCCTTCGCCGTTGACGGCCTTATCGTTCTGTAGGTGTTTGGGCGTTCCTAGAAGTTCTCGTCGCCACGCTTGGAATCAGCTTGACATTTGGCTGGGATGGACCAGAATGGTCGAGGTAATCGTGGTCGGCTCGGGGAGGAGGGAGAGAATGATGATCCGGAAGAGAGAAAGAGTGCGTTCTGTGGTCGCTTGGAGGGGGGGGGGGTGGAACCGGACCCTTCCCCCTTCCTCCCCTACTTCTCCTCCCTCCCTCTCCTCGGGCCAGCGCCTGCGGCGGCGGCTGGCGGCGGCGGCGGTGACAACGATTTCCTGTTCTGGGCCAGCGCCGGCGCCTGCGGCGGCGGGCGGCGGCGCAGGGGAGCGTCGACGAGTACGACGGTGGTGGTGGTGGTGGTGGTGGTGGTGGTGGTGGTGGTGGTGGTGGTGGTGGTGGTGGTGGTGGGTTGTGGTGGTGGTGGTGGCGGTGGTGGTGGTTTGGTGGTGGTGTGGTGGTGGTGGTTGTGGTGGTGATTTGTGGTGGTGGTTTGGTGGTGGTGATGGTGATTTGTGGTGGTGGTTGTGGTGGTGGTGGTGGTGGTGATGGTGGCGTTGGTTTGTGGAGATGGTGCTGGTGGTGGGGGTGGTGGCGGTGGTGGTGGTGGTGCGGTGGTTTGTGGTGGTGGTGGTGGGTTGTGCTGCTTGTAGTGGTGGTGGTTGTGACGGTTGTGGTGGCGTGGTAGATTGCGGTGGTGGTGGTAGTGGTGGTTGGTTTTTGTGGTGATGCTGGTGGTGGTGGTGAGATGTGGTTGTGATGGTTGTGGTGGTGGTGGTGGCTGTGGTGATGGTTGTGGTGGTGGTGGTGGTTGCGTGGTGGGTCGGTGGTGGTGGTGGTGGGTTAAGGCGGTGGTGGTGGTGGTGGTAGTAGTCGTGGTTATCGTCGCTGCGTCCCCGCCGTCGCCAGCGCCAGCGCCGACGCTGCTGGGCGCGGCCGGCGCCGGCGCCAGGGAGGGGTTCAAACCCCCCCCTCCTCCCCCCCCCCTTTGGGCTGCCTTTGGTCATCGTCGTTGCGTCCCCGCCGTCGGCGCTGCCTGGCGGCCGCCGGCGCTGGCGCC